TCTCAGTCACATATCGACAGTTATTTATATAACGCTCACATCCTTAATATCACAAAAAAAAAATGGAGAACACTAAACTAACTTTTTCAAATTAAAATACACTTTTTCATGTGCATGCTTTGATATGATTATAACATCAATGTATTATACATGTAAATATGAAACTTTTGGTGTTAGATATGCAAATACATATAAACTACGTGGCATGTATGTAAAGTCCCCATTATATTATCATAGGACGTAAATTAGATTGCATGTGCAACATGGCTTTTTTGCTTCTTCTATAGCTCTACCTGCTCCTCAAAGCAGTATTTACATTCATACCATTAAAAAAATTAGATCAATTCCTGTGTGTTTACATATCTAACACCCAAGCTTTAGCTGTGGCTTGAGAAAGGGTTAAAGAAGTTGAAATGCCAATAAGTTATACATTGGAGAAACTCAATCAGCAAAATAGACTTTAATATGCCAAAGCAAAGTTAAAAGGTACTCACTCGGTCAAGTTTCGATCACCTTGCAAAAAATAATGGAAACATACCTTTAAAGAAGAGTAGTTTGAGCTAACGTTGAAGATTATGTTAAGTTATGTTAACACGGAGGAGAATCGAAAGTTCCTGCTGTTTAATTTTCTTAATTGCTAAATGGTTAGAAGGAGGATTTGTTCCTACTATCTAGGGAATTAAATCATTTTTCTTATTTGTTAGGTTGTCTTAAATATCTAACTTTTACATGTTTTTCTAAAATGTATGTAGGTAGTGCATTGTGAACTATGATTTCAATGTAATCATCAACGTAAAGATGATAATATCGGGTGAAAATTTTACAGATATTCCAGAAATCAGACCGAGTGTGACTGTAACTATTTCAAGTGGATTGATGAATGGTATGATGCAACTTCTGATAAAGACAAAAAATATTTGTGCCTCACTTTAAAATAGCTCCCTGGATTCGTGCAATCTTTATTTATGCCTCATGAACAATTTGTGTCTTACATGATTTGTAGCAAATTTAAATAATTTATGAAAATTCAGATGCTTTGTGATGTATAATATATGACTATAAGCAGGCGATACCAGCGTTGTTTCGGAAATCTCTACCAAAAGCTACTATTCAAGCAAACCTTGCACATAAAGAAAAGACAGGGAAGATGAAAAACTGGTTGTGGATGGAAGAAATTTGCACTTGAAAACAATTTCAAAGGAGGAGATGGGTGTGTTTTTGAGCTTATGGATGATGACAATAAATTGAAGATTGGAGTTCAAATTCTTAACGGTCAAATCCTATAGAGTTCATCACACTGAGAAGGAATATCTTGTCAGTTTTGATTAGAATCGAGAAGAAAATTATTTATGAAAGTAAAAATGACATTTCTTAAGTTTAATTACATGCATTTTACTGTCAATGTATCTCTATTTTAATCATACTAAACTTGAATTAATAGATTTGAGTTTGTAAATTTCTGCATTGGAATGCCTTACTATAAGTAGCTTGTTCAGCTAATTGAAGCACTTCTTAGCTTTGCATTTTAAAGTAGAGGAGAAGAAACTCATGAGCAGAGTAAAGAAAAAGTCTCATGTGACATTTTGAGCGAACACTTGCTTATTTGCTTGCTATTGCATTTTACATTCTAGTTAAGCTTCAACTGATTTTGTTGTGATGTATGATCTGCTCTTTTCTTCCCTGTGAAAATTGTGTGCGGACAACAGTTGCTTCTTTGGTTATTTTAAATTCGTTAGAAGTCAATGTTTTTTGTCAGAATAATGGCTGGAATAAAGAAATAATGATGGAAACTTGCTGGCTGTACAAGCTAAGTATGGTTGGTGAAGGCACAAAATGGGGACTTTCAAAAATTTTATGACTAGGTGAAGAAACATATTGCAAAATACAAAATCTAATGCAAATATTAATTGCATCTAAGTGTCGAAATATAGTGCAAAAATTTCAGAACCACTGAAAACATAAATGTACCTGAGACATTCATCAACCTCATCATGGTCCAAACCTGCC